TTATATTTTAATTTCAATTATTTAAAATTTATTCTTAATATATTCTTTCTTAAAACCTGCAATCAAAGATAAAAAAGAAAGAGAGAGACCGACTTAGAATGTCACTTACATGTTTAATATTGATTTTACATTTTGATTACATTTGAATTTTTATTTTAAATTTTACAGCATGTCCACTGTAGTGGACCATAGTATCAATTAAGTTAAAAACGACTGCTACTCAAACAACAAAACTGTACAGGATATGGCTGTAAAGGGATAATAATTCATATTAATGTAACAAAAACTAAACAAAAGCCATATTTCCTTTTGTATTGAAATTCCTGAAACAGAGCCGAACTCAAAAACAAAATAAAAACAAAATAAGAAGTGACGTTAATCCAAAACAAATTTAACATAAAAGCGATTTACAACTGATTGTCATTCTCTAATTGTCTCTAATTTTCTCTAATTGTCTGATTGTCAGACTCTAAATCAGAGTCTCCCTCAACTATCTTATAAAGAATCCTCTCTGCTTCAGTTCTGCCTCCTACAACATGCAGTCATTAATTACATTAAGATGGACCTGATGTCCACTATAGTGGACATTTAAAAAAGCATGATATTTTGAAACACAAACAAGTTAACACTTTTAAAGGGTAAATGTTTTGCTCCTGACACTTTAATAAACAAATATATATATGTAACAATAATAGTAAAAAAAACATTTAAAAAGCTAAATTTTAAATGCCTCTCTCCTTCCTATGAAATGTGCTTTTTTGTATGTCGCCATTTTGGATACAGTGTAAGAAGTGCTTCCTAGCATGCCAGCCAATCATATAACATATTACTACAACACTCTAAACTCTAAACAGTACAACAGGACTTGACAGAGTAGCTCAAAAACTCAAAGAAAATTCATGAAAACACAATGTCCACTACAGAGGACACAAGTCAGTGGGTGGGGTCTCAGGAGGACAGAACAGGTTTTAAAAAAATAAATATAAATAGCCATTTTTTAAAACTTATTACAATACATTTATTCATATCATGGACATTTGAGTAGTTTTTTTAATTATACCTGTTTTTTTTAATCAGGCTATTTATTTCATCTTCTTTTTTAGATGGTATAAGCATGCGTGTCATTTCACCTCATTCTAAAAACCTGGATGATTCTCATATTATTTAATGCTACACAAAAAAATGATTTATTGGATTTACTAATTGTTTTTAAGGCAAGTATACATTGTTTACAACTATACACATTGTTTACAACCACTTATCTTAAAAGAATCTAAATTCAATTAATAGTTTTTTTCAGTGTATGGTAAAAGATGTAAACTCTCTCACCTAAGTTCTTCTTCGCCTCGCACTAAACCAGATACAGTCAACACAGGCACTTCTAGTCCACAGGCATAGATCCGACACAAAGCCAGGCTTCATCCCTGAGCTCTGCCACACATGAGTGCCCACCGAACGCAGGCCTCTAGGCGCTGGAATTCATAGCCCTGTGGAGGCTGGAGATAAAGCCGCATGTATGTGCGCTAAGTAGGGCTCACGTTACATGCTGAAACCCATGCCACCCAGGAACTGTTACCATATGAAAGCAGACTGTTTTGAAAGGAGAGCACCGCCTGGCTCGGCTCTTTGTGTCAGAGCGATAACCAGACGGGACGTGTTAAATTGTCTCTATCACAGCTAATGAGTTTGAGGTCAGTGGCTGTGGGTTGCTAGACTCAAGCCACACAGAGAGACTGTACAATTGACTGGAGGTTTGTGTATGTTGTGGCGGTCGGATGGTTTGGGTGTGGGGCGCAAGTCGATGCGTGTCACATTTGGGTTTTCGGTCGGTCTTGTTTGTCTGCGAGTTTTACGCTTGGGCAGTAATTTGACAGTGATTACTACACATCGCTGAAATGTGCATTTTTTTCCCTCAATGTTTGGCCAATGGAAGGAATGTGTTTGGACGGATGAGGTGGGTTTCCCTGTTGGAGAAAAATAAGTCATAGGAGAGCTGACAAAAGTTCCTTAAATGGCACCTATGATGAATATCATCTTTTGGAAGCTGTTTGGACAGAACTATGTGTAAGTATAATGTGTCCATTGTCATTGTCATATAAGGGTGATAGAAACAAGTCTCTTTTATTACATTTTCTGATGTTTAAATAGGATTCAACAACCCCCGTTCTGGTATTTATTGTATTTATTTTAATGGATTTGGATCTGGGGCAGTTTGCTGCCATCTGTGATGTGGCTGGAATAAGAATCAGCACCTTAAAGTCTGAGTCCATGGTGCTCTACCGAAAAAAGGTGGTTTGCCATCTTCAGGTTGGAGGAAAGTCCTTACCCCAGGTAGAGGAGTTCAAGTACGTTGGGATTTTGATCACGAGTGAGGGAATTATGGAATGTGTGATTGACAGGTGGATTGGTGCAGTGGCAGCAGTAATGCAGTCGATGTACTGGTCCGTTGTGGTAAAGAAGCTTTGGGTCATGATCGAAAGGACAAGATCTCGAATACAAGCAGCCAAAATGATTTCCCTTCACAGGGTGGCAGGGCGCACCCTTATGGATAGGGTGAGAAGCTCTGTCAGCCGGGAAGAGGTCGGAGTAGAGCCGCTGCTCCTCCACATCGATAGAAGTCAGCTGAGGTGGCTCAGGAATCCTTGGATGCCTCCTGGACGCCTACCTGTTTCAGGCATGTCCCACTGGGAGGAGGCATCGGGGAAGACCCAGGACACGCTGGAAGGACTATGTCTCTCAGCGGAGAATGCCTTGGGATCCCCCCGAAGGAGCTGGAGGAAGTGTCTGGGGAGAGGGAAGTCTGGGGTTTTCTCCTAAGACTGCTGCACTGGCCACCCATCCCTGGAAAATCGGTTGAAAATGAATGAATGAGGATCCGGCAATAACTTGTGTGTGGTGAATACCTTAAGCAAGTTAAAGCAAAAGTCACGTTTAACTATTGGCCCTCAACAATATTTTCAGCCAATTGGCTTTCTTATGTTTATAATCACTCTCATTGGTTGGTGTTTGTTTCGCACACATTGAGCATCGAAAATAAATACTGGCTTAGTGAAAATGAAACTGCGTGAATGGATCAGGATAGAGGTAGATGAAGCAAAGCGATCTCAAGTCAGCCAAAAAACATGACGGAAGAGCTACTGAGGGCTCTTCTTGAAGATTAGACTGAGTGACCCACACAGCAAATATTCTCTGGCCCTGCTCTGGCTCACACAATGAGGTTTTGCTTGACCCAACATGCTGCAGTGAATTATGGTACATGACTGGACCAAATATGGCTTCCAGACAAGGGCCAAACACGGACCGTATCTGGGTCAAGTCTCAGCCAGGTGAATAACTTATAACTGGGCCTGAACTGGGCCAGATAGGTTGGTGTGTCACGATTGCAATGAAATTGATAAACTAACAAAGCATTGCACTTTAAGCACACTATGGCACTGTATGCACTATAGCACACTTCTTTGCTACCTGGGGAGTGATTTCATTATTTATTTTTTCCCTTTGCACATAATAGTGAAGTGAACTGAATAGTGATTGTTCGTACAAATTATGTTTGTAGCTACCGGTTTTTATTATCTATGACTGAACTATAACGTTACTTGGTACAAAATAATTAAAGACCGTTCAGAAATGTGATGCTCTTTTTTGGGCTTTCACCGTTTAATGACGTCATGTTCTGGGAAAACTGAAATTGTTTGGTGTACGTCAGTCCAGTATCTTTTATTTCCTGGTTTTGTTCCTGTAATTATTCATTTACTAATTAAGCACTGCCACCCACTGATTTGATTGACCGCGGCATATTAACGTCTTCGTTGTAACACGTATAATCATATCAACAAGACAGGACGTGCGCAAAGCAACTGGGATTAAATTGATCATCAATCATCAACAAATGTGATCAAGAATGAGTTTTACAAATATAAAACGTTTTTAAAACTGTGCATGTTTGTAATGAATTTCAGCAATTTTCTCATCTTTATCACCACAGCTGCATGTCAGTACAATTACAAAAGAAGATGCTTCAATCCCAGTTTGTGGACATTAAATCAGGTTTATTTTGTACATTAACATAACGGATATCCATATACAGCAGTGGATATTAACGTGTATCCCGTCACATTTGTGTGCAAAAACAGTTTAAAGTTAACGCGCATGCTGTGTGTGCATTAATTTTGTAATGACATTGTGTGTGACTCATTGTTGCAGAAAGGCTTAAATTACATTCACATGCATTAAAGAATCATTGGTAAAATCCTTACTGTAGTATTTCTCACAAATGTTACACGAGATCTGCTTGTTTTATGTCTGTCACTGTGCTGTTTATCTGATGCAACTAGCATTAAAGGCACAGGCCACAAAAACAGCTACATTGTGTTCACAGCAGAATATTCCAACATTCTGAAAGGTATAATAAATGATCTAATGGGTGTTTTGAGCTGAAACTTTACAGACACACTCTGAAGACACAAAATACTTCAATCTTAAAAAAGGCTAAAATAGGTGCCCTTTAAAGATGAACAATTGGGCAAATTTGCAATTCATCAGTTCTCCATTTTGAGATTGCTACAGTATACCCTTTTTTTAAAAAAAACTGAAATTGCAGTTCAGTCAAAAGCAAAAAACAAATCTAAATTCTGTTATCATTTACTCACTCTCGAGTTTCTGTTTTCTGTTGAACACACATGAAGGTATTTGAAGAATGTTGGAAACTGGAAGCCAATGACTTTCATACTATTTATTTTTCCTACAGTTTAAGTCTACTGGTGAACAGCATTCTTCAAATTATATTAATTTCTCTGTGAACTGTCCCTTTAAGAGCAGTGAGCAATCTTTGTTTAAAAAAAAAAGTCGAAATATTTTTGTAAATTTTCCCAAATTGAACTGATTCACCAGAATGAATCGGACTTTCCAGCACCGCATGAGCATGGTGTATAGAGTAAATGAGTAAATGGTAATTATATGAAATTATAGCTTGCGTCGTACATTTTTGTACCTCTGTGCAGAGGAGCTGGAAGCAGAAGATGCCACGCTGGTCGATACATGTACCATGAGGAGCACAGGAGATCTACGCTAAAGACAGAACAGAGAAAACACTTCACCTGGACACATTTCACAGGTAAACACTTTTTTTTTGCCTAGCACAGGATTACTTATAGGAAAAAGATACATACAGTTGAAGTCAGAATTATTAGCCCTCCTGTATTATTAGCCCCCTTTTTATATTTTATAGCCCCCTTTTATATTTTTCCTTCAATTTCTGTTTAAAGGAAAGAAGATTTTTTTAAACACATTTCTAAACATAATAGTTTTAACTCTTTATTTTTTTATTATTTTATTTATAGTAGTAGTATAGACAATACAATGATTTCACTTGAGAGTGTACATTTCCCATTGCTAAACAGTTTTCTTTTTTACAAACTATAAAGTAACAGAAAACAATACAAAACAAAAGTTTCATGAAATAAAATATATGAAAATAACAGTAACAATAAAATGGTAACAAAAATAATATCAACAATAACTAAATAAACATAGATCAGAGGCGAGGCAGTGTTGCAGTAGGTAGTGCTGTCGCCTCACGGCAAGAAGGTCGCTGGTTCGAACCTCGGGTCATAAATTGAAAAATGTTGGGAATTGGGTTGTAACATTTTCATATTTCTACAAAGATTGGATGGAGCAACCTAATGTATTTAGTTCACTTGGACTAGATATTTCTAAATACATTAATTTGGAGTTGATGCGAGAATGTAATTTTTTCCATCACATAAATATCATATGCTATTTCTAGTCATTCTTGAATTGTTGGGGATTCAGAAAATAGATAAATAATTAATTTCAATTAACTAATTTATTTTATCTTTGTCATGATGACAGTACATAATATTTTGCTAGATATTTTTCAAGATACTAGTATTTATATTTAACTATACTAGTATACTTAAATAAGTATACTAATGCTAGTATATATATTTAAAGGCCTATCTAGATTAATTAGGTTAATTAGGCAAGTTAGGGTAATTAGACATGTCGATGTACAATGGTGGTTTGTTTTGTAGACAATAAAAAAAAAACATGGCCTTAGAGGGCTAATTATATTGTACTAAAAAATAGTTTTAAAAAATTAGAAACTTCTTTTATTCTAGCCAAAATAAAAGAAATAAGACTAATAGACTGTTTAAAAAAGAAAAAAATTCACAGGAGGGCAAATAATTTTTAACTGTATATATAAACATTTTTCATCCTAGTTTGTTGAGCTTCATTCAGCATGATGGGTCAGATGAACCTGCTGGTCATTTCCCTCTAGAATCAGCAAGTTATTTTCTTACTCTTTTACTGATTTATTTATTTATTTTTTATCTCTGTTAACCCTAAATATGTACAATGTATGCCTCAAATTTTTGATGGAGCTCTCTGAGCGGTTGAGGTCGAAAAATGTCAGAAAGTGCGCCATGTCATATGCTCCAGCACCAATACCACTGATACAGTAGTTGCCTAGCAACATAAAAAGCGCAATGCACTGCACTGCTCTTTTCTAAAGTCAACAAAATGGCAGTGCAGTGCGCCTCGCATTTTCAGAACTGAAAAGCTTGTCTGGTGTGATCGGCCCCTACAATGTCAATATTATTTATATAGCACTATTAAAGGTGCAGTATGTAAGTTTGATACCCAGTGGTTGAACTAGGTAATTTCATTCTTGGATCAAAACACACGCAAGCGCAGGTTGCCAGATTGAGGGTGTGCCTAACTATCAAACCTAAAGGATGATTTAGAGCTGATTTAAATCATGTTCTGAATAAAACCAATGACAGGCTAGATAGAAGGAATATTCTCATATTAAAAGTTTTGACCTAACCAACTCCTAAAATTTATATTTTAGAAACGTAGCGTGTTGTTGGGACACTGGGTTACAATGTAACCTGCTCACCTAATGTCTACATTAGTAATATTTATATTATTTGCTAATTAATAAACTCATGTGGAACTCTGAATCTGTCTCTCATTTCGGAGTCGGCTACTGTCCACTGGAGGTCGGATTTCGGTCACAGACTCATGCTTTGAGAGCCTTCATGAATGAAAGAAAGAAAGAAAGAAAGAAAGAAAGAAAGAAAGAAAGAAAGAAAGAAAGATGCTGTTTTCCAACAAGGTCACCCGGAGTGCTGAAATATAAACTGGTAGTGGGTGGGTTAAATGACCAAAAGAAAGACAGACATTCCGCCATGTAACGCACATTTTCAAAGTAGAATATCTGACTTCAACATTGTTTGTCAGATAAACAAGAAAGTTCACATAGCATGTTCCTAAATATCTGCTAACATATTTTAGTATCTTTATGCTTTAGAAGAGTCAAAAACTTACATACAACACCTTTAAGCACAACGATGTTGATCAATATGCTGCACAGTACAAATCGCTGAGGTGAGAATCAGGACCTCTAAGACCGAGGCTATGGTGCTCCACCGGAAAAAGTTGCTTTGCCATCTCCAGGTTGGAGGAAAATCCTAAACCCCAGGTGGAGAAGTTCAAGTATCTTGGGGTTTTGTTCACAAGTGAGGGAAGGATGGAACGTGAGATTGACATGCAGATTCACAAAAGAGAAACAGAAAATTCTGAAATTCTTGCTGATAAAATGCAAAATCAAAAAGATATGTTTTCAGCCTAGATTTAAAAACAGGAAGAGATGATACAGATGTAATACAGAGTGGCAGAGCATTTCACAATGTAGGACCAGCTACTGCAAACATACAGTCACCCCTGCATTTCAGCCTCAATATAGTGGTGCATAGTAATCTGTAGTTTGATGACCGAAAAGAACACCCAGGCTAATGTTCAGTCAATAAATCTGTCAGGTAAGAAGATGCTAAGCCATTTAGTGATTTAAAAACCAAGAGAAAAATGTTTAAATTAACACAATAGTAGGGTGGCGCGGTGTCTTAGTGGTTAGCACTGACCTCACACCAAGAAGGTCACTGGTTCTGGTCCTAGCTGGTCTAGTTAGCATTTCTGTGTGGAGTTTGCATGTTCTCCCTGCGTTCGCATGGGCTTCCTCCGGTTGCTCCGATTTTCCCCACAGTCCAAAGACATGCGCTATAGGTGAATTGGGTAAGCTATATTGGCCATGGTGTTTGTGTGTGAATTAGTGTGTATGAGTGTTTCCCAGTACTGGGTTGCGGCAGGATGGCATCTGCTGTGTAAAACATATGCTGAAATGGTTGGTGGTTCATTCAGCTGTGGCGACCTCTAAAGTAGAGAATAAGCCAAAGGAAAATGAATGAATAAACATGATGAAACTGGCGTTAGACTTGTTTGAGGTAGTCATGACCTTTGGTACTCGTTAAAATCCTTGCAGCAGCATTACGATGGCAACAAAAACTGCAAGTCAAGGTGTTTGTGTATCTCTATGAATAAATATGTCTGTTTATTCGATGTATAAAAGCTAACATTAATATGTGTTGTACTTAGGTCACGTTGAGCCCATGCGGTGGTCCATGCTAGTCCTGCTGCTCCTGTCCTGCAGCCAGACGTTTGCCCAGCGCCCAGGAGACATCTGCCCACAAAACCCCCACCACGGTCAAGATGTCACAGCCAACACTGTGCCCACCGTGGATCCCAAACTCTTCAACAAGAGGCGGTACCGCTCACCACGCGTGCTCTTCAGCGAACACCCGCCCGACTCTGAACCCTCCCGGAGCAGGACCAAGAGGAAAGCAGGACCGCCTCAACATCGCGGCGTTTACTCCGTCTGCGAGAGCATCAGCCATTGGGAGGGAAATAAAACCAAAGCCACAGACATCACAGGCAATGAGGTCACCGTTTTACCTGACGTAATCATCAACAACTCCAAGAAAAAGCAATACTTTTTTGAGACCACCTGCAGCAGCGGGCGAACCGGAGGCTCTGGGTGTTTAGGGATCGACGCCCGCCATTGGAACTCATATTGCACCAATTCGCATACATTTGTACGTGCGCTGACTTCATTCAAGAACCTGGTGGCGTGGAGACTCATAAGGATCAATGTAGCTTGCGTGTGTGTGCTGAGCAGAAAGTCTTGGAGAGCATGACAAACTAGCAGATTTTCCACACACCAGCGACGGCCTTAATGATATCAAACTCGAGTCTATTACAGTATGTGATGGTGGATGTTTTCCAACCCTTCTTGACAACTAGTGACACAAAACAGACCTTCCAAGGAGGATAATTATGATGTGTTTGTGTCACAGGATGCTACAGTGGAATGAGTTGGGTTTTTCCACGTCTTTTTTTTAAGCTTTCGTCTTTTTAGAATAATTCTCAGCAGTACGAGAACATGTACATATATTGTTGTGTGTGGTAACTGTTATTTATTAAACCGCAGCATTATTGTTCATTTACTGTGGGTCCTCAGTGTGCATATTAAGAGATAAAATAAAGGAACATTTTGGATTAAATAAAAAGTTTAATTTAAAGTTCAGTCATCATTATTGCATGCTTGAAAACCGCAGGCTCTGTTCGATTTAATTACATTTTCTTTTTTTATTCATTGTAGAAAAAAAGCCATCCCAGGCTCATTCTGAAAACATAGCCCCGTATAAATGTCTGGAGAGCGACAAATACATCCCAGGAGCGAAGTTTTTTTGCAGTTTTTGTTTCTGCGAATCCACCAGAGGCCGCTGTCTATGCTTTTTGAGATCTTAAGTTTCTCTCACAAGTGCCATTTGCGCCTGCTGTTCTCATGTAAATCCACCAGAGGCGCTGTTGACTGTCTGACTAAAGCTGCGGTCACTCTGGGCTTTTCCTCCCATACACTTCCATTCATACGCACAGGAATGCGTCAGACCGGAAACGCAGGGTCTAAGTTTCGCAGGTCGCTGCAGTGCAAAGTTCAAGCTTGGTGCACTTGACTGCATGAGACCAATCGAGGATCAAAACATGACCTCTTTTGACAGAAATTTAAACATAGAGCAAACACTGGCTTTTTAAAATGTTTAATCATCTTGTTTAATCCCGCCCCTTTTCGCAGTGCCACACGACTGAATATCGCATGCTCAAACTCTAGTGTGACCGCAGCTTGACAGACTGACCGCTAGCCCCACCCACTCACCCACTTCACTAAACCAAACCACAGTGTTAAAAAGCACCGATTGACCAACCCGCCCACTTCCCTAAACCCAACCACAGTGTTTTGAAAAGCAATCAAGAAAAAGAATATGCCTCTGATTTTTGCCATAGTTTCAGATTTTACCACATTCTCACCCTGTTATTTACTTGTTTATTATTATTATTATTATTATTTTTGGCTTTTTTTTTTGTCTTACCTGCTTTCTGGAACCGTTCTTCACCTGACTTGAACACCATCATTGCAGTCAATTACTTTTTGTGTCTCAAGTCTGCCAGCATACGCTGCGAGCCACTGGACAGAGGGAAAACAGTCCATACGGAGGTAAGCGGTCAGCTTCTAGCGCAAAAAGGAATGCCGTCATACCGCCTTGTAGAGTTCGGTTTTAAAGATGAAATGCAGCTATACATACTTCTGGCTACATAATCCACAATCTTCAGAAATGCATATAGCGCTACATTTTCAGAATGAGCCTATGTTGCAAAAAGCCAAACATAAGATGAAAGAAAAGGATGACAGAATTTTTGTTTTTGGATGAACTTAACATGACAAGAGGAACCTAATTTACTTCATAATACTGGTTCCCGGAATTTTAGTTTAGTGCATTTTATTTCAGAGAATAAAGAATGAATGATTTTCATTTTGGCCTGTCCAACCACTTGTCAACAAATTAGCAACTTGCCAATCCATTCCCAATAGTTAACAAAGAAAAAAATCAAGGACCCTGTTGCAATAAGCAGTGTATTGTCAAGGCTTTTCTTAAGGGATTTCTTGCATTCACTCTTTTTTTTTTTGCTTTTGTTTATGAAGTACGTCACCTTATTGAATTATAATTCCTGGAAGTGGTCAAGGAAATCTGTTTTATGTTGATTCCAGCTCAATGGACAGCACTTTACAGGAATAAAACATATACTGTGATGCTTACACCATAAAAAAATCATTTTAAAAATTAGGATTTTTAAAAAACTAAATTAAAACATTTTTGCAATTGAACAAATATTTTGTATCATTTTTGTGAGATGTTTAAATAATTTTCTGTAGTCATCAACAGCATTCTACTCTGTTGACAAATTAAGCCAGATTATTGCTTTACATAATTTCCCAACCCAGGCTCATTCTGAAAATGTTTAGCTATATACATTTCTGAAGAGCACCAAATACGTGCCAGGAGCTACTTTTTTGTACTTTTTTTTTCGCAAATCCACCAGAGGCCGCTGTGTACGCTTTTTTTAGATCTCAGATTTCTCTCGCAAGTGCCATTTGCAGATATCCCAAATCTCCCGGAAGTTTGGGGAGTCTCCCGCAAATGCATAGAGACTCCCGGATGCCTGCAAACAAATGATAATCTTTGATGTGTGTGAAATCACACATCTACCTCTTGGTCCTCAAATATTTTGCCCAGCATTCTCATCTCTCTTCACCGCATCCCTCCTAGCTCTTCAGACATGTCTCGCACATCCTGTCGAACCCCCCACCCACGCACGTTTCTAATGCCAACCGAAAGTTTTAAAAAGCAATCCAATAAAAGAAAAGCCCTCGCCTGATTTTTCCCATATTGGCAGATTTTACCACATTCTTACCCTGTGATTAACTTGTTTCTATTATTTTTTAGCTTCTGTTTTTCTCTTACCCACTTTCTGAAACTGTTCTTCATCAAACACCAACCCCGTCATCGTGGTCAACTCCTCTCTGCGTCTCAAGTCTGCCAACGTACATGGCAAGCTAACTGGACACACTGATTACAGAGGTAAAGTCGTCCAAATGGAGGTAAGCGGCCAGCTGGTAAGTGAGAAAATGAAGGTGTCAAATCGCCTCGTAGAGTTCGTTTTAGTCATGTGTACTTCAGGCCACATAATTTGTGATCTCCAGAAATGTAAATAGTTTTGTAAGCTACGTTTTCAGAATGAGCCTATGTTGAAACTTCCATTACACTTGTAGTCCATAAAAAGCAACTGAACTTTCTAGAACAGCCTCAGTTAAAGCCAATGTTTTTCTTTGGTGAGTTTTGACTCAGATATGACCTTCAGCCATTAAAAAAAATTTGGGATTCAAGAAAATTAAAAATTACAATTAAACAAATATTTTGTATCATTTTTGACAGATTGTTTTTCTGTGGTCATCAACAGCATTCTACAGCATTCTGCATTCTTTTTGACATCTCAATTTTCTCTTGCGAAAACCGTTTGTGCCTGCTGTTCTCATGTAAATCCACAAGAGGCTGCTGTCGACTGACTGATGTACTGACTGATTGACTGACCCACTCTCTCTCTTCCCAAACCCCAACCAAAAGTGTTTTCAAAAGCACAGATTAACCAGCACTCATCCACTTTCCTAGTCAACCGAAAGTTATAAAAAGCCATCCAGAAAAAGAAAAGCCCTCACCTGATTTTCACCATGTTTTCAGATTTTACCACATTCTCACCCTGTTGTTTACTTGTTTATTGAACTTTTTTGGCTTCTCTTTTTGTCTTACCTGCTTTCTGAAACGGTTCTTTACCAAACTCAAACCCCTTTGTCGTAGTCAACTCCGCTCTGCATTTCAAGTCCGCCAACATACAAGGTAACAAACTGGTAACAGCGGAAAAGCCGTCCATACAGAGGTAAGCGGCCAGCTGGTAGCCCGTAGAGTTCATTTTAAAGATAAAATGCAGCCCAACGAACTTCTGGCTACACAATTTGCGATCTCCAGAAATGTATATAGGGCTACATTTTCAGAATGAGCCTATGTTAAAACTTCCATTGCACTTGTAGTCCATAAAAAGCAACTGAACTTTCCGGAACAGCCGCAGTTTAAGCCAAGATGCTTTATTTGGTGAGTTTTGACTTAGATATGACTTTCAGCCAATGAAAAATTAGGGTTTAAAATTTTTTTGACAGATTATTTTCTGTGGTCATCAAGAGAATTGTCCTCTGCTGACAAATTAACCCACAATATTGCTTTGCAAAATTTCCATTGCACTTGTAGTCCATAAAAAGCAACTGAACTTTCCGGAACAGCCTCAGTTTAAGCCAAGAGTTTGGTTTGGTGTAATAAAAAAAAAAATCATGACTCAGATGTGACCTTCAGACATGTGGCAGAAAAGCTAAACGGTTCGGGCAAGTTTTGTCAGACACTCCAAGTAAGTCTGAGAGTTTGTTGAAACCGAGCTCGCGTCAGAACAGATGTGCTGCTCTCACACATGGAAACAGAGCTTCACTGGAATGCATTAGATGTTCTCCTTCCAGAGGCTTCCACGTGACGCTCACAGAGCTGGCCTTGAGACTGAAAATCGTTAAAAAGCAATTGAAACAACCACAAACAGGTGTGTCACCCCAATCAGACTCGGAATACATTTGTTTAGGCAGCATGTGTGGAAGTCCTAAAAAAAACAGATGGAGACCCACCTCAGGTTTGATTGTGTAAACAGAAGGAGAGCACATGCCAAAGGTCAGCTGTGTGGCCGGGTGATGAGCTCATGTCTGGAAGCCTGCTTAGATCTGTGAGGTCAGACGTCAAAGTTCCTGTGGAATAATCAACAGGATTGGGTGGTTTAGCCAGTCAGGGTTCCAACAGGTCATGGAATTTATGGAATATCTTGGAATTTTAAAAGGATTTTCCAGATTTTGAAAGTCAGTGAATTTGTATATATTGTTTGTCCTACTATAGTCAGGGATTTTTTCGTCACTTAAAATTTTACTTTAGCTATTTCGCATATTTCAAATCAAAACATATAATGATTTAGCCTATTTTTCAGCTCCATTTTGTTTCTTTCATAGTCTACACTGTAAATAATGTCGTAAATGAGAAGTTTTCTATATTTTGTAATTCACATTCTGTAATTCACATGCTTTAGATTTGCAAAATGGGAATTTGATCTTTCTTCCAACAACTTTTAACCTTGAAAAGTAAAAAAAAAAAAGTGACTTTTATTTACATTTTAATAGTTTAAAGTGATATTTTGTCTAGGTCGGTGTTTAATATTACCATACAAAAACCTTGCAATAAACCGCCAGCACATTTTTTTTTTAGTTTAGAGATTATTTCTTTCTGTATTATTTTTTTAGACATTATATTATTTCAAACTACTAAAATGTCAATGAAAGTCACTTTGTTAATCTGTAGAGATGATTTTTTAACATCAAAAGTCGACCGAGCAGAGATTGGGATCCCGTAATGCAATTCACAAAATACAGAAACTGTTAACTAACAAATATTTTTACAGTGTACTCGAGGTCTATGCAATGACATTATCCCTCAGTAAAATATCTTCAGGTTATAAATGAATATTTTATTTTTCAATATTTTTAAAAAACAGTTTACAAAACATTATATATTTGAGTAATTTTATAACGTTTATTCACACACTTGTG